TTCAAAACCTTAAGCCTAGGGAAAAACATCCAGCTGAAATCAACCAAATCAGTCTAAGCCCTTTTGCTTGCGATGTCACTTTGTGATGTGTCTCCCCGATTCATGGTGTTTTCCACAGACCCATGATGGCTAATAGCAATGAAATGATAGTGGTTCTCAAAACTGCGCCTGCAGGCAGTTACTTTTGGTCACTGGGAATCAAGTTTGCAAAGAGAGATGTAAAAAAATCTAACATGGATCAACTAACCATCTCGTAAAGTGTTACATATCTTTCATAAGGATGATTGTAATTGATTTAAAGCATTTGTATTGGAACAAAAAATGTTAAAAGAGAAAACTAACGCTTAAAATCAGTTTGTGTCCCTCTCTCTAGGCAAGTGTGCTTGCTCACAACTTACAAGGGGAGGTTACTGATTGTCCTCCTCAGATCAGGTTCAAATTTGGCAGAGTAGAGAAATATAGGAACACCTTCTTTTTTTTTTTTTTCTTTTTCTGCGCCAATGCCCAGCTGTTTTTGAGTTATGAATTTCTGAAGTTGCCGCTTTTTCGTGTCAGCAACGCGCTCAAGTTGAGCCTACTGTGCACGCACCTTTTAATACGATCAACGTGCAAAATGTGAGCCGCTTGGCCTCGCAGCAGCGCACTTGCCTACAGTACCGGAGGTACAGGGTTCGATCCTTGTCCTGGCGATCTCTTTTTACAATTGATTATTTTGTTTTTTTTATTGCTTCATCACAACAAATTGTAAGTCACCTTCTAAATATTATGATGCTAATTATTTTTTTAGGTATTTATTTTAAATGATTGTTTGACAAAAAAGAAAAGAAATAATTAGCATCATAATTTTTACAAGGTGACTTACAATTTTTTGTGATGAAGCAATTAAAAAACAAAATAATCAATGGTACAAAGAGATCTCCAGGACAAGGATCGACCCCTGGACCTCCGGTACCATAGGCACGTGCGCTGCCGCCAGGCCAACCAGCTCACATTTTCCGTGTGGCACTCGGATCCATTAAAAGGTGCGCGCACAATAGGCTCAACTTGAGCGCGTTACTGACACAAAAAAATGGCAACTTCGAAAATTCAAAACTCAAAATCGGCTGGGCATTGGCACAAAAAAAACAAGCAGTAACTCCAGCGCACTGCCGCTGAAGAGCGGCTCTGGGCCGCTCATATCCAAGACATATATAAACTACTAGCCGTGTTCAGCTCGCTGTGCGAGCTGTCACGCCAAGCCGGGGAGTGGCCCTGGACCCCCAGTTCCTCGCTTCGCGATGAACTTGCGACTCGTTCCGCGAGCCGCCCCTCATAGCTATTAACTTTTAAAAGAACGAATTTACTTTTTTTAACGAAGTATGGTGAATAGTGGCGAATATGTTATCTTCGTCCTCATCCACAATCAGCAGACTTAGCATTTTAAGCCACGGCCGCCATCTTCGATATTGAAATTTTGAAAATCTGACCAAAAATTCGAGTTTGCTGTTGAAAAATACATCCGGATACCGAGTTTCACGAAAATCGATCAAACAGGAGCCGACTTAGCATTTTAGGCCACGGCCGCCATCTTGGATTTTGAAATTTAGAAAATCTGACCTAAAATTCGAGTTTCCCGTTGAAAAATATCTCCGGATTCCGAGTTTTACGAAAATCGAGTGAACAGGAGCCGACTTAGCATTTTAGGTCACGACCGCCATCTTTGATTTTGAAATTTTGAAAATCTGACCAAAAATTTGAGTTCCCTGTTGAAAAATGCTTCCGGATATCGAGTTTCATGAAAATCGAGTGAACAGGAGCCGACTTAGCATTTTAGGCATTAATACACAACAACGCCACTAGGGACGAATCCGTCCATGAAGTAGTACGACTAGGAGGCTCCAAACACGGCATTCTTCCAAAAAAGCGCGAAAACTTGTCGTTTTGAAAATTCAGATTTTAAACGTTAAGTACATTTTTTTCAATACGAGATTAAAGCACAGACAAGTTTTGAATTATCGACAGTATCACCATGATTCCAAAAATACACTACACAACATATCATTCGCTCAGGAGAAAACAATGAATTAAAATAAAATCATGGCAAGGTCCACAGCCGAAAATGGCGACGATTCCCACGTACCAACGCGCGCTCTAACCAATGGTAGATGTACCATTGGTAACATCCACTGCAGAGACCGACAGGAATAGCAGCTCTAGGTGCTAGCATCAGAGCCGCTAAAAAAAAAAAATAGGGGACTTATAATTCCCTATTCTACCTTTCTGCGAAAGAGGGTTATTCATATAGGCGAAAAATGTACCCAGCCCGGAATGTACGAAACTTTGTGGGCTGATAGTACTAGTTGAGAGAGGCTCATCCCTAGCTCCGTTTTTGCAGGAACCCCAGGGAAACAGCGTTGCCATTTTTCAAAGTCGTAACCTTCAAACATCCATAAATTTCGGAGAAATGCAGTTACAGAGCTCGTATTTATACCAAAAGATGCAAAAAATTACGTTCCATCGACCTATGCCAAAGAAATTTTAATTTGACTCCGTTGTTGCCACGTTTTGGCCATTTTATTAATTTTCGTAATTATTTAAAATCACGTTACCGCCTAAAAAAGTGTTTGCGGTTGGTGAGGATTGAATAAAAACATGTCAGAATTATTGTTCGTTTGATTCCGCATCCATCGATATATTATACTTTTCTGAGAGACTTAGGGAACACGAGTTATAGCGATTTGAAAATTCGGCAACACGCCCGATACCCCGATATTGACGCTCGTTTAGGTACGTTTCGCAACTCCGTGTTAAAGCAAAACGCCTAGACCAAACAAAATTCGAAAAGTCAGTTCATGTTTTGCGCTTTTTTGAAACTTTCACATGATTTTTAGGAATTTAAGTAGCGGCGGTGTTGCCGGTTTTCAATGAAAACCACCGCTGCGATCACAATTTAAAGCAGTACTCATTTAATCTTATCCAGCTACATTTGTTAACCTAAACTGACCATTTGCGACATGGTGTTGACAACATTGCCTAATTTCCGTCGGAATTCGCGTAGAGGCGGGGTTGCCAGTTTTCATAGAAACCGCCACCGCAATCAAAAAAAAAAGGTATTACTTCTTTGATCACGTTCAGCCTTATTCTGTAGTTGGAATTGTTTATTTATCGAATCGATGGTTTCCTCTATCTCTCAGCAACGGCAGTGGTGCCTGACAGTGCCGAGATATCGATATTGTATAGAGATCAAGAGCAATGGATCTAGGCCCCTCGCCAAAACTACTCATCGGACCGCTTGAGTGATTCGGTAGCTTTAAATTTCGATATCTCGTTACTGTCGGCCACCACTGCCGTTGCGGAGAGATAGAGGAAACCATCGATTCGATAAATAAACAATTCCAACTACAGAATAAGGCTGAACGTGATCAAAGAAGTAATACCTTTTTTTTTTGATTGCGGTGGCGGTTTCTATGAAAACTGGCAACCCCGCCTCTACGCGAATTCCGACGGAAATTAGGCAATGTTGTCAACACCATGTCGCAAATGGTCAGTTTAGGTTAACAAATGTAGCTGGATAAGATTAAATGAGTACTGCTTTAAATTGTGATCGCAGCGGTGGTTTTCATTGAAAACCGGCAACACCGCCGCTACTTAAATTCCTAAAAATCATGTGAAAGTTTCAAAAAAGCGCAAAACATGAACTGACTTTTCGAATTTTGTTTGGTCTAGGCGTTTTGCTTTAACACGGAGTTGCGAAACGTACCTAAACGAGCGTCAATATCGGGGTATCGGGCGTGTTGCCGAATTTTCAAATCGCTATAACTCGTGTTCCCTAAGTCTCTCAGAAAAGTATAATATATCGATGGATGCGGAATCAAACGAACAATAATTCTGACATGTTTTTATTCAATCCTCACCAACCGCAAACACTTTTTTAGGCGGTAACGTGATTTTAAATAATTACGAAAATTAATAAAATGGCCAAAACGTGGCAACAACGGAGTCAAATTAAAATTTCTTTGGCATAGGTCGATGGAACGTAATTTTTTGCATCTTTTGGTATAAATACGAGCTCTGTAACTGCATTTCTCCGAAATTTATGGATGTTTGAAGGTTACGACTTTGAAAAATGGCAACGCTGTTTCCCTGGGGTTCCTGCAAAAACGGAGCTAGGGATGAGCCTCTCTCAACTAGTACTATCAGCCCACAAAGTTTCGTACATTCCGGGCTGGGTACATTTTTCGCCTATATGAATAACCCTCTTTGAACCCGATCTGAGGAGGACAATCGATAGCCTCCCCTTCTTAGAAAAACCGCTCATAGAAGTGGTAAATTTGAAAGGCGCAATAAGTACTACTCAAATTAAGTAGTTAAGAAGGGATTTTAAAAATTTTTTATGTGTTTCGCCTGTATTTTGTGCAATTTTACCCACAAAAGGAGTACTCAGTAGGCTGTATCTTTTGTCAGCAACGAATCCTTTTCATGGTCCAAAAACCTCGTGTGGAAGATTTTTCATAGATTTTTTTAGGACACACCAAGGATGAGGTTAGGAAGATGCGAAATGATGTCTTAATTATAGAATGCAGGACCATAATTTTTACGATCACAGGAAAGTAGACTCCATCTTAAATAAGACGTGAATATTGTGTACAATTACATTATTTTAGTCCAAAACACATCCAAAATCTTAAAGTATGGCTAGAATAAACATGCTCACATCATCACAGGAACCTTAATACAAAGAATCGATTTTTTACGAAAATGGAGGTCTAATAACTTCAAGCAGCACTAAAAAGTTTAAAATTCCTAACACCTAAAATAAACGAGGAAAAAGCCTAGTAGGGGCGGTCTGGATCAAACTGAAAAGTCGTTGAATGATGGTCTAGGTGAATGAAAAAAAAAACTGGAGTACAGTCTTTCTGTTGCTATAATTTTTTTCTGAAGGATGGGGTGGACTTAATTGTATGATCAAGGTGATAAGGATATCATCCATCAGCTTTTTCAAAATAAATACTTGAACTTACTAGACTGATTATTATTCGGAAGTTGTGTGGTTGCAATTAAAGTTCCGAGAAGCTTCGCCACATTACACCGTACCTCATAACTGGAGCCGTCAAACGCCCGGAAACATAAACTCGTCAGATTTTCCAGCTCAACAGTGTACATGAATGGTGCATGCTTCAGCATTTCTAGTAAACACTTGAAAAAAAGAAGAAATTTTAACTGTAATCGTACCAAAATAAATATTCCTCAATTAATAAAGGTGTTCCAAACAGAAAAAGGAATTTTTTATGAATCGATTCTTTTGGCCAAAATATAGTTTTTTCATTCTACCACATTTTTCTTTTACGCCGTTATAGAAACATTGAAACCCTCCTAAGATAAATCAAATTTTTCAAACAGCAACACTAGTTATGCATACTAATTTTAATGAGATTTGGTGAATTACCGTTGCCAAAATACATGGAAAACAATTAATTTCCCAGGACTTTGAGAGGATTGTAGACCCTGCAAAAAACACTTGGGGAAAAAATTTCATCAGAGAAAAAAGTCTCCAGTTAAAATTAGGTGAAGTTCTAAGTTTAAAAGTATTTTGACCCATAGAGCACCCTCCTGTAGTTTGGTGTATTAACCTCAAATCATCCTGCATTACATGGTTAGGATAGGGCTTCGTCTTGTTTTGTCAAATTAACTTAGTTTCAATGCAGTTCAACACGGCTTTGTCTAAGACTGGCACAGAGCTTGAGAAAAATAAAGCGCTAATGTTACATATATGCAATTTCATCTCCATTGTTACATACCAATGATGTTCCTCAGAATTTTAAACAGAGATAGGTAGTACTGTTTTACCTTCAACCTCAGGTGCTATGAAATACGTGCCTCTGAAATGTTGAGAGGAATGAGCATTTCTAGGGGGATAAAATTGATTGAGTAGCGGAAGCACAATTTTTTCATAGCCTAAAGACTTCATTGTGTCATAAAAAGTCAGCTTGTGTATTCCTGTGAATTATGAAGTAAAAGCTGATTAATGTAGCTTTCATACTGTTGTGACTGAAGTTGTTATTCGTACTAAACATAATCTAATACACCAAGATAATTGAAAAAGGTTCAGTATGACATTTACAAATGTTCGAGCTTGAAAAATCTGACTTGGCCATCAACTTTTGGACAATATTGAATTTGCTGAGCTTATAGAGGAGGGAAATGTTCATTTTCCATGAAAACGATTACAGATTGGTCATAACTTGCAAGCAGAAGGTTGCGAAGTTTACTTCCAATGTTACTGGGACCTCACAGCCTTGAGTTAGAGAGTAAAACGCAACTAAAAATTTTGGGAGGGTTTTTTTTCTACACAATATCGAAAAATCGCCGTGAAAATGCGAATTTTTCACCAAATGAGCTCAACAAGGTCTCATTAGAAAGCTGATGAATTAAGGTACAAAGTCTCATTAGAAAGCTGATGAATTAAGGTACAAGGTCCTGCAATCCATACCTCCATAGCTGTAATAGTTTGCTCAGAGCAGGCCCACTCTCAGTTTTTTTTGGGACAGCCTTAGTTCATGCGGATTTATTTATTTCCATCAGAATGTTGTCATACACATTTGTAAATGTCATAGTGAACCCTTTTCAATCATCTTGGTGTATTAGATTATGTTTAGTACGAATTACAACTTCAGTCACAACAGTATGAAAGCTACATTAATCAGCTTTTACTTCATAATTCACAGGAATACTTTTTTTTTATTAGGTTGACTTATGCAATAAGAGTATGAAAACTTTTGCGTTCATGACAAACCTTGGAAGCAGCACTACGCACTGCCATAACCCTATCTGCTAAACAGGAGCGGGCAGCCTTGAAGATTTCACGATGTACATTCGATATTGCATTGCCCATACCACAACAAACCTGCAAGAAACGGAAAATAAGTAGAGACATATTCTTTTCAGCAAAGCTATGATAAACTGAAAAGAAAACTTAATTTTTGTGGAATATGTATGATCTCATGAGAGTAAAATTGAAACTTTGAAGGCATTCTCGTGCTGATTGATTGCAAAAAGGATCTCAAAAAATGCCCCCCTTAAAATATTGGTGATATTCACACCATTGATAGAGGGCTACTCTAATAGGTTTTGAAGATAACCCTCACACAGTTCTCACCCACCCCTCACTCACTTGCAGCCAAAATAAGGCATTGGTTTCTACCATAGAGAATGCATTGCATTAAAACTTCTCACTGCCAATGCCCAGCAGGGTCTCAAAACTCATCTAAAGGAACAACTGACCTTTACAGGGTGTCTAGCAAATTTTTCTTTTCATTCTCCCTGACTTTCAAGATTTTCCCTGACCTATTGAATTTTCTTTCTCCCTGACTTTCCATGACCTTTTACCAAGATTCGCTTTCAGTCTGTACGATGTTTTACATTCTTCAAAGCAATGGATTACAATTCCAGAATAAAAACCTTTCTGCGGTTTTTGGGTGTCATCGGAGACTCTCGTAAAAAAGATTCTTTTCTTTCTTCCACTCTTACATCATAATTTGTACCTAATAGTAATGCTTTGGAAGATCTTTGCTTGTTACTTCAAAAAACCTTATAGAAATTTGCAACTTCGAGAATTAAATAAATAGAGGAAGAAATAGTACACTTCCAGAGGTGTCGCGGATGCTTTGGCGTCGTGGACGCTTCAAAAGGCGTTGCGGACACTTCCACAGGCGTCGCGGACACTAAAGGAGGCGTCGCGGACGCTAGTCCCTTTATACCCAGAGTTACGACAACTCACTTTTGGTTGGGTTGAAAGTGGCCTAAAAAAAATCCAATTCTGATTGGTTCTCGCTCATGGAGTCACAAACGAGTGCACCAAGATGGCGGTGCCTCGAATGTGAAAAAAAATAATGAAAATATTACCTAATTGTGGTTTATCAAGAGTAAATTGTTATTTCCATCGGTCCAAAATGAAAATAGATTAAGCAATTATTCACAAACCAATCTCATTTTCCTTTTAATTGATCAATTTTGTTGATGTTGTTGTTTTTGGATGACAGACATCGCAGGATTCCTTATCCTTACCCTCAATATCGTTCGTTTGTGTGCACTCGTTTGTGCCTCAATGGCCAGCCAAGGCTGGCTGCCAGTCAGCTGACAATCGAGTTGTCTTAACTCTGGGTATAAAGGGACTCTAGAGGACGCAACAAAGCGATAGAGAGAGGGAGCACCACTAGACAGCACCATAGAATAAAGAGACTACGCTACGTAGTCTCTTTATTCTATGTCAGCACTAACGGTTCAGATGGCACCTCAGACCAGGAGGGAGCGCTGCACGGCTAAACATCGAAACGCCGTAAAGTTATGCAAAAAAATCGCGATCTTCGACGGGAGTTCGCTTCCCTCCCGGTTTTGCGTTTTTCTTCCCTGACTTTCCCGGTTTTCCCGGTCGCTAGACACCCTGCTTCATGAATTGGTCTTGGACATATTATAAAACATACCTTTTCCAGAGTCATCATGATTTCAACTCGCATTTGAGAGTCTGCACTCCGCAATGATTTAATGAGCATCTGAACTGTTTCTTCGTAGGATCTCCCCATCATCCGACCCAGCTTCTCGTACATGCTTCCCACACAGCTGATAGCAGCACTAAAACAAGTAAGAGTTAAAAATGAGACTGAATTTGTTACCGATTGAGTGTCACAGTCTACGTTCACCAAAAAAATGATGGAATAAGATCAAATATAAGGTGGCAATTGGTTATCCTTTCAAGAGTTTATTCTCTTTTTTGTTCTCCTTCATGGGTAGCTTCTTTTCATGACAATTATTTATCCTACCATAATTCACCAAATGAATGAGGATATACTATGCGTCCATTTGAAATAAAAAGATTGAGGGTTCAAGATTCCTACATACTGAATACGTGAGTACCAACTGGTGAGATTTAATGAAGTTGGAAATCAAGTAATTTCTTTCAAAAAGACTGCCTCTGCCATGTAACTCTGCTAAAATTGGGCGAGATTGTTAAAAATTACAAGGAATCAGATACTAGCATTAAAGATATTTATCGTACCTTCTCAAATTCCTTCAAATGATGATTATTCTCTCCAAAGATGTTGGCATAACCGTAAACGTAGAGTATGTCAAAAGTACCAGGGCTGGTGTCATAACTTTAAAATAAGCGAAACAACCAAGCTGATTGTGGCTGCATCCGAAAGAACAATTCATTTTCTACCAATTGCATTGGGTTGAGCTTACATACTCAAAAATTTGCGAATTTTTGACTAACTAAAACAGGAAGAAACGGGACCCCTGCCGTTTTTAACAATGATTTTTCTCACTGCGTTGGAAGAACTTACAGTTCATCTTCTCTGTCCTTGCATGTTTATGAGGCATTGTCGATTCTTATGCATTTTTTGTTTCCCTCATTTAATTCAAACACCATAATCTTGTATCATTATTTCAGGTTGAAAAGTTGCAAGAAACCAGGTTCATTATTTTGTATAGGGACTCACAGTGATCAACTTACAGTTTTGTGGTTGTAGAGCTAGAGGAGTCATCCTTGTTCTTCAAAATGTCGTTGCAGTGGTTGACAGTATCAAAGAGTAGAAATGTGTCCCCTACACTGAATAAGGTGGCCAAGCAGTGAGCGATCAGTTGTCTTGTTGGAGGTCCTGGGCACTGTTGAATAAGTTGCATTAACTGGTCTACTAATTTCTTCTGACACTCTTTGATATCAGACTGCGAAAAGAAAATACATTCTAAAAATGGATTGGTTGAAAAATAGCTCAGCAATTCAAAACAATATCTACAAGGCCAGTTTTTTTTTTTTTCGCTGGGGGGGAGGGGCCATGGGCTGCAGCCCACAACAGTAATTAT